AAAAAAAAAAAAAAAAAAAAAAAAAAAATAATAATAATAATAATAATAATAATAATAATAATAATAATAATAATAATAAGTTTACGTAGATATGCACATTTTTTATTTTCTAATGTTTTTTGACAGTGGTCTATGGGAAATTCTAAAGCTTCATTTTCTGATATTAGATCTATGTGATGCAAAAATCTTAGTCTAGTGCACTACTTTTTCTTCTCTAGTAATTTTCTAGAATTATCTCCAAGACAGCTAGCCAAAGATGTGGGTCTACATAAAATAAAGATCAAGATGAACCAATAAAATCGATTTGCTAATTGTTAAAAATACAACCCTAAATATTATTAAAAATGAAAAAAAAAAGTAACTCCAACTCAGCAAATTCCGTACTCTAATGCGCTACCTCACTCGATCCTCATGTCGAGCAACAGGACGCTGCATCGCCGCTGGAATTAGGAGGCTGCGTCGCCGCTGGAATTACTCGTGTTCTCCCAACCGAAATCCCTCAAATTCGTCGGCGAGGCCTAATTCTCCGGCACCTACGCGCCAACTTTCTCCTCTACATCTCCACCGCCCAATTTCTCTGGCATTAAGCCCTCCACCATCTCCCTTCGTCTTCTCATTTCTCAAGTCAGTTTTGCCACGCACAATGAACACTTGGCCAGAAAACAGACAAAAGTCATGGAAAAAAATGTATGGGAGTAAATATTTATACACCACCACTCAAAAATATTAAAAAAATGACGCTCATACCTAAAAGAACCCGACTGTACCTCAATGGAGAACGACCTCGGTCCAAATCATGGGTTTGTAAAGTTTGTTTGTGGTGAAAGCATCACAGTAAAAATCGTTGCATGAGTTAATATACCAAAAACAGCAGCGAATGAGTTATATAAAAGGTAAATCGACCGAGCTTCAAAACTGAAATGTATACTTCAAATTTTTAGGTAACTTTCACTTTCTAAAGGAACTGAATGAGTTATTAAGGTCATATAATTTGAATTCAATTTAAAGGAATTAAAAAAAAAAACAAATTTGTGGAAGACGAATACGTATACTAACCACTGGATCAGGGGCATCATCTTCCTTACACATCACCCATGGAACTCCCGTATCCAGTTTAACGGCCATATCTGCTGCGCAATTCAAATTCTTCTGTCCAGAGGCACCATATTGCTTCCCTAGTGGACCATATTCGTTTTCAATCTGCATGAGCACACGCTATTATCACTCAGCAATTCACTCTTCAGTTGATTACAATACTTCTAATGCACAACCCTTAAAAATACATAATGAAGAGACTCAACACAAAACCTGGGAGAGAATAATTGGGCCCCCCTGAGAATCATACAGATTTTCACTCTTCATCAAGTTCACAATTTTCTCCGTGTTAGCCATCTGAATAAATTGTAAACATGTATATATATATATATATTACATCCAAATTGTAACCCATAGCAGTAGAAAAGTAATTAAGTAAGATTTGCTAGGAATTCATCATTAGCAACTAAAAGTTGTACTGTCTATATGGTGTAATTCTACTGATGATTTAATTAAAGAGGCATCATGACTAAACCAAAAACTAAATAATAATGCAGAAAAATAATAGTTGGGAATGATAAGACAACCTTGAATGGTTCGTTATCCGTCCTAAAGCTAATCCCTGGTACATACTTTAGCCAAACTGGAAATCCCCTGCACATAGAAAAGTTGTTATGCAAACCAGTAAGTATTTTGGAAACACTTTATGAAGAATGTCATCAATTATTGACTAAAAACGGTATATCTGAGTGTTATGAACAGTAAATTTTTGTTTATGTTTCTAGAATGCATATTTAATAAAAGAGCAAAATCACAGAAAGGAGATGATTGAAAAAAAATTAGTTTCTCCGAGCAAAATATCAAACTTATAATTCTCAACTATTTTTGGCTTCTACTACACGAATTCATCACAAAGCGTGTTTTATGCAAAACAATCAAGCTACTTCATAATGTATGTGTGTATGTGTGTGTGTGTGTGTGTGTGTTTCTATGATGAATTGATGACTTGAAATCTTAATCTAAACAAGATTCCTTACCCAAAATTCCACTCTGCATATACATAGGGCCGAATTCGGAGATGAGCATATAGCCTAGCTTTCTGTATGGTCTTCACAAACCTCACCAGATCATATCTTCCTTCAAAATCAGACTAAAACCCACAAACAAAAAAAAAAAATTACAAAAATGTTCATTTCAACCCCAAAATTGAGCAAAAAATAGAACCTCCTAAAAAAAGTCTTTTATCTTCCAAAAATATACAAGAATAAAAAAGTCTTTTATCTTCCAAAAATATACAAGAATACTACCTTGCCGGGAGAAGGCTCATGAACATCCGAGAATACATAAGTGTCAATCACATCAACCCCTCCATCCTTAGCCTTATTTATCAGACCTTTCCCCATCTATGACAAACACAAGCAAAAGAACACAAATCTCATAATAAAAGAACAAATAAGTGTAAAAAGAAGATGCTTTACTAAAAAAATAAAACAAAAACAAGAAAAAAACATCCTGCATTAGTACCTCAAGTGTGCTTCTGGGTTGTGATGACATATACGTTGGGAAAGAGAGCTTTGGCAGGGTTTGTGTCAACCTTGTCGAGGATGAATAGGATGCAAGCACGTCTCAAAGACAGAACGTGAAATGCCTCAGATAACTCAAACATGAGAGAGACATTCTCCATCATATATCCTTTAGACGACAAGAACAAATTATTAGAAGCTATAAAAAGTATATATATAGTGTAAAAGTAAAATCCATCGTTCTTGTCCACCTACTTGTGCAATGGCATATTCAAAACGCTCAAGACCCTCTAATACATACTGATCAACAGGCTTCAAAAGATCTTGTGCGATATCTAATTTATCTAATTTAATATAAACAGGTCCTCTTTAGATATATCTACAAAGAGAAATAATAACAATTATTATCACCATTCATCTATTTGTTATCTTTTAGGTCCATAAAAACCAAAAACAAAACACATAAACAAATAAAATGCACCGCGAGCCTCCAGATAACCTCAGACGCATGCTCGGAAGGGTTGTGCGAGGCCAGTTTCCAAAAACCCGTTTTGTTGAAGCGGCTCGCCGCCTCCTTCACGGACTCGAACGGTGCCGGCGTGTCAATATCGGTTCTTATTGGAGGATTTGGACCTCCGAGGCTCGAGTCGACGGTTTGGGGTTGAAGAATTTTAGAGCTCTAGGTCGCCAATCTTCAAGGAAAAAAAGAACCCAACAAGGTTCGCAACCTGGGAAGCTTAGAAAAGTGGGTTTTGAAGAAATGAGATCTGCCTCTTTAAGAAATCTTCATTGGGAAGATATCGAACAAGAAAATCACGTTAGATAGGATTCTGACGGATTAAAGAAAGAGCATAAATTTCGGACACAAAATCATAAAGGAAGGAAAGAGAGATCTATGCAAAATCCCCTAAAATCAGCAAGCAGAGGCGTAAAACAGATGAAAACCGATCTCTTTTTTTTGCCCAAAAATGGACACGTGTCAACCCCACAGCCAGCCTCCAATGTATTTTAGGAACTCTCTCTATGGCAAAGCTGTAAATACAGAATAAAAGGAAGGACATTTTTGTCCCAAAAAGACACATGTCAAGCCCAAAATTGATTCTCAATGTTTTCTTATATGTATAGTAGAGATATGTATACATATATATATAATTATCTTGAAAATACCCAATCCCAACGAACCGCTCAGTTTTTTTCATCTTCTTGAAAAAAAACTCAATCCCTCGCCACAGACCCCGTCTATTCTCTCCATCTTCTCAAATCCGGCAAAGCCCACCAGCCACCGTCCGCCTCTCCTCCGACACCGTCACACCGTCTCGAATCTATCACCATCGTCGCACAGTCCCGCCTCTCCCACCAGCCACCGTCTCGCCTCTATTCCGTCACGCCTCGACATCCCGCCTCGCCCTCGCTGCCTCGACGTCTGGCAGACTCCAATTGCAAATTTAAAAGGTAATTACTATCATTGAAATTGGTGGGCTTTTATCTTTGAAATTGATTTTGTTATTTCCTTTAATTTTGTATTCATAAGTAGTCTTTAATTTGCTTGAAATCAGGTGGACTGCTTAGCTCTGTTACAAATTTCTTATGCTTTCTGATCATGAACTTGTTCAATTGATGTTGTTCATCAATTCATGGTTGCCTTGTTTTTTCTTTCTTTTTTTTTAAAAAAAATAAAATTCAAAGTGTAACCCGCCCCGGCACGGGCCAGGTCGCCTTCCTGGACCCGTGGCGGGTCACGGGCCAGGTCGGGGCGCGGGCCTAGGGTCACGGGCCAGGTCGGGGCGCGGGCCTAGGGTCGCAGGCCAGGTCCGGGTACTGAACTACCCGGCCGACCTGCCCCATTGTCATCTCTAAATCCATCAGCTATTATTTTTTAGTTAATTTTCAGTAAAATAAAATTAAACCATTTTCCCAAACAAAATTAGCCAAACCACACCACACAGCCAACGGAGCTTCTGCCATACCGGCGGTCCCGACGCCGTAGGTATTGACCTAGCCGCCACCACAACGCTGCACCTTCCTAAGATTTGACAGCTTGCCGGAGCATCTCCGCCGCCAGTAGGCCGGAGCTCAATTATTTCCGGAGGCTCTCGGCCTCGAATCTCTGTGGCGGCGTACCACCTGCTCGATTGCTTCCAGGTACTCCATCCCTTTACCGATAAACGGCGCTGCCCGGCCTTAAATTTCCGGTGAACACAGCGGCTAATTGATTCGAACTCGATTGAAGAGAGAGAGAGAGAGAGAGAGAGAGAGAGAGAGAGAGATGGAGTCGATAATAAAAAAGTATCAGCAGAAGTTCAAGAGAATAAAGGATGCTATGAGTCGATGGGAAGAGCTTCAGTCTCGGCTGCTTATACAGTTTTCTAATGCATCTTCCATTATCCAGAGGTTGCAGGTTCTCCCTCTCTCTCTATATCTATACATATCTGGGAGTTCAATTTTTTTTGAAATTTTGTTTATTTGGAACTTTGATGTGTAGTTGATCCAAAATTCTAGTAACTATGGGGCTTTGAAATGTGTTGAGGGCATAGAACGTGCTGTTTTGGCGAAGCAAATGGAGTCCCTGCAAACCATCTTGACCACCATGAACAATACCATGTAAGTGCTCCTGTTTGTTTGTTTGTTTTTTTTTTTTTTT